CATTTTTGTGTAAATCGTTGTCATTCTCATTAGTCCATAAAGCGATAAACAGTTCAATATAACCAAATAACAGGTTAGACATGGTGTCGGATCAGGGTCGACCGCTGGTACCACTTGGCTTTCGCTTATTACCGGCGGTCGGTGGACCTGAGCCTGAGTTAACCTTTTTTGTTGTTGTGTTTAGCTCTTCACTTGGGGTTGGTGGGGTCCGGCCTTGTCCTGACTTTTGTCCAGGCGCTTTGTTGGGTACCGAGGACGGTGTCGCGACCTTATTGGATTTGCCCGTTACAACGCGTCTGTTTCCTGTGGACACTTTGATTTGACGACGCTCTTTATGTGCATCACTGTCAGGGATGAGCGTGTCAATATTAGTGTTTTGAGGGAGCGGGCCGTTGTCGGAGCTATGATCACTGTCGTAGTCGTCTTCACGTACGTTTTCATTTTCGTTGGTGTTTATCTCGTCACGGTTCTCGGCTTCGCTGGTAATGCCGTCAGACTGGGGTACCTCAGAGGGTGATGGGCACTCTGATTGTTTGTGTCCGGATTGGTTACACAACCGGCATTTCCAGTCATTTGGACATTGACGAAATGTGTGGCCATCTTGGAGACATTTCGAACAAGTCATGTTGTCTGAAACTACCTGTCCATAGTAGGATACCCTGGCTTTGTATCTGCCAATTTGTACAAATTTTGGGATGTGATTTGTAAGCGTGCGTGAAAGAATCAATAAAGTTCTATCACCCGTTTCACAGTTCGTGAGTTTTCCGTTAATACGGAGCTTCTCTCGGGTGATATTACCTATCGTCTCCAGACCTTTCAAAATAAAGAACCGGTCAATCTGTCCATCGTCCGCAGACAGAGGGATGTCTTTTACTCTGACCTTTGTGGTGTTTTCGTTATCAAAACGGTTTGGGTTGGTTTTAAGGACGCCCATGGTGTGCCCCCTTAGCGGGAAACCCGATGAAAGGAGTTCACATTTATCATCTAGGTTGTCAACGTAGATGCGCCATAACCCTCTAATTCTTTGCAGTCCAATGATATGGGTGGGATCTATAACTTCAGCGAGAGCAGTATACATTTCGGGATGGGTTATGAATTCAGAGGGATTCGGTCTCCGTTCCCCGAAAAAGTCACGTTCTCTAAAGAACGCTAATGGCGGTTCCGTGAATAGCTCGCTGATAGGTTCAAATCTGGCGTTATTTTCAAAGTTCGACATTTTGTACTCACAGTTTCGTATCTTAGTCCTTGATAGTTAGCACACAAAACACATTTGCTTGCAACGGTGATGAATAATTCTATGTTTCGATGTAAATCTTCAAATATTTTGAGAGCCGAGTAGAAAAAAACGCCTTGGCAGTTTCGCGCATGCTCAGTAATCTTAATTGTCGTGAGCATGTAATTTTTTGCGGACTTCACATCGAATTATACTTGAAATGATGAAATAAAAACAGTAATACGCTTTTCGAGCACTTCGTTCGATTTCTACTTTTTTGTTTGTAGATTTAATTATCTTTTTAAATGTTCAAACCTCAGCTACCTTAATTCAAATAGTTTTTGCATATACTTATTTTAAGTCAGTGCTTCAAACGGGAGTCTTGAATTGATAAAAATGATACAGAAGAAGATGGAAGTATTATTTTAATCATAACTTGACAGATATACATGTTAAAAAACAGGATTTTTTTCCCTTTACACGCTTCAATAAAACTGAAACTAAATCACCACTCTACTGAAATGTTGATAATCTTTTTGGCTAAATACATCATATTAGATTACATATACAATATTGTTGGCTATCTTGTGGGCGTGGATACACTGATGACAATTTCTAATGGCAGCTTTTGACAAACTCTTTTATTTATTATACCAAAACCGAAAAATATTCCCACAAGCCAAGGCTTTGCTCAAGACATACAGAAACAGTGACGTGTTGCGTTTTAACGCCTTTATGAATGGGAAGGCGTCCATATACATGTATTATATTTACACCTTATTTCACTTCTAGAATAGAAAACTAATCTACCTTCATCGATGTTATAACTGTGACATTCCTTACATGTTTGACATTTAAGGAAATAAAAGTATACAGCTTAAAGCTGGAGCTCAACAGTGCCCTTTCTATATCCGGGTCTTTCCTTTCTATATCCGGGAACTTTATAGGGTTGAGGCGTCAACAGTTTGTCAGAGAATACCTACTGGTGGACCGCCATCATCAGAACGGGAGTTCCAGGGACGCGCGCATGATTTGTTTTCGTTTTTCCTCGATCGTGTTAACTACTTGTACATATAGGTGTCTCTTAGACTGCCTTTTCTACGTTTAATTTCCAGAATACATGTCGATTAGTATCAATGCACGTACCTTGTACATTTACAAACATGAATTATGTGTCCTCCCACACAGACACAAATGGTTCGAATTAGACGGTAAGTGTGTATTACCAAAGCCCTCTATATATATCACACGATGTTCCAGCATCTGTTACACTAGGTACAGTGTACATATACGCCTGAACTATCTGTACTGGCGAGTGATTTTCTCAGATAAATGAAACGATGTGTTCGGTATATGTCACCTACAATTTATACGACCATTTCCATCTACAGAATCCTCACACGTTATTGCTGACAACACGGGACTGAGACACAGGGCGGAACTAGAAATATCACAGCTTCGTAATAACAGACCGTTCTCCTGTCTCAGCCATAAAACACTCTAATGGGACACTTTTCGATTCATCTCGTTAGTTTTTAAAACGTCTATCGTGTTTTTCTCTCAGTTTCATAAACCCAACGGTATAAAATTAAACTGATAAATTAGCAATTGATATACATGTACATTATAACAAAATGAGAGTTTTCAGCCTTGTGCAATACTATTTCTAGAGTTGGTCCAGACACCAAGGGAAGGTACAGGTATGGCATCAATGGTGTTCCATTTTTGTAAACTTAACCATACATAGACTGTCTCAACGTTTTGAAGTTCAAGTATTAATCATACGAAAAATACACCTTTGTTATGATATTTTGAAGCGTTTTTCTTTCGTCCGGAGCTGGAAATCATGTTTGCATCCTAGTCTAAATGTTTTGAAACATTAGTCAGCAACCGTTTACCAATCCTTACCTCTATATGATCTGTATCATGTATCCATTCATGATTTTCTGGGTATTTTTTAATCTCACTGAAGCTGAGACAGTAAGTTTACCATTCAACTGAAGAAACGTATGATACAAATGACCCATATCTGCCATGAAGACGTTATATTTTATCAAAACTACGCTATATGTGTCTGTTATCTGGAAATATTACAGAATAAAATGTTGTAAAAATTATGTTTATACAAAACTAATGAAAACGGTCGATTTTTGTAAACATCGTAGGAAAATGGAAATAAAAAGCCACACTTTTAAGACAAAATGTGATTAAGGAGGCTCCACCTTTTTGCAATTAGCCAGCAGAATTCAATGAAAGTGTCACATAATGGTTATGTCACTATGTAGGGATGATTTTATGAAAATCTCAGCATTCCGATAAACTGGGGATTTTTTGGTAAAAAATACCAAAAATTGAATTTTTGTCAAATTCAACACTTTCACATTTTTTGAGCGTGCTGTATTGTTTAAAACTATAACAACAATATAAAAATGAAAAGAAACGTTGCTAATTAACCCTACAAATATTTTATTTATCATGAAATATCAACAACATGTTACAAAAAGCGTTTTTTATTGAAATTGTATGGATAAAAGTTACTAAATACAAGCTAAAAGCAAACAGGATACATAGTTTCATTAAAAAAGAGTGAAAAATTGAACCAAATACACACAAAGTCTGTATAAATAATTTATTTTACATTTTACAATAATTTTGATCCTGGTGAGAGTTGTCTACCTTGAAAAAATATCGGAACTTTTTGCCGAGGGATAGTTTGTTTGTTTGTTTGATTTTGTTTAACGTCCTATTAACAGCTAAGGTCACTTAAGGACGGCCTCCCCTGGGTGCAAGATGCATGCGTGTAGTGTATGTGTGTGTATTTTGGGAGGCTGCGATATGTTCGTGTTCGTCTCCTTGTGATAGTGCGAAACTGATGCCGACTTTATAGTGCTACCTCACTGAAACATACTGCCGAAGACACCCAGCAGGACGCCCCACCCGGTCACATTATACTGACAACGGGCGAACCAGTCGTCCCACTCCTAATTTGCTGAGCGTTAAGTAGGAGTAGAAACTACCATTTTTAAAGACTTTGGTATGTCTCGGCCAGGGGACAGAACCCAAAACCTTCCTCACAGGGGCGAACGCTCAACAAATGGCCAAAAGTGAGGCATTGTCAAGGGAGACCGAGGGATATAATTTATACAATGACACTTGCATTTTATAGGGATCTTGATATTTTACAAACCACTAGTTATTGTTATTGCATTTGTGAACCGATTTAACTGACAGAGCGTTACTCGCTCGACAACAAAAGTCGTAACGACCAATTAGCTTGTGAACTTCTGTTAGCACGTGTCGTTGATACGTACAGGTGAGGTTGGTAAACACAAAACACCAGTATGCATACCATGCGCCTCATATACGACCTTCTTGAAGTCGTCTGATCGTATGTCAGTGTTTTCCCGTGAGTTAATTAATGTCTTTGTATCATAAGCTTTATTTCTGAAGTACGTGTGATTACACATTTCCAAGTTAAGTCTCGAAATCGGGTGTTGATATATCATTGTCACGCACGTGTACTATTGTTTACCCGGTGTTACTATAATTTACACTACGGTAATGGAATGCCCGATACGCAATAAGGAAATGACGACACGAAAATACGACAAGAAAAACATGTGTATTACGAAGGGTGGAAAGTCCTTAAGTTCGTTTTCATGCGGAGTTGATGTCGTGCGTTTCACTGTTCAAAGGGCGATAACCCTTATTTGATAATCAACTTTAACACCAAATGGATATTATGGTTGTTTTCAGAACTAATGAATGCCCTGTTGGTAATAGTAAGTGGTACATATGGTGTCTGATTTAAGCAAAAAAAACAAAACAAACTGTTTTCTTGTGGCTGAGATAATATACACAATGATAACAAATACACACACAGACGTAAATAGTATGTTTATAATAAAAAAGTTCGACTGATTGTATTAAGTTAAACTTCATATATATTTTACAATAGTTATGAAACATTTGTTCTATACTAAAAGTCATTTAACTTAATAAATGCAAGGATATTTATATTAGGAGAAGTAGTCAGCAATTTTCTCATTAAATACTGTACGTAACAATAGAAATAGTTTCCTATGTATAGCGGAAGTCAATCAACGGTTATCCCCACTTCTGTATTTTCCTGTCGGATACAAACTCGCCGTTAGGTGTCGTGGTGGTTGGAGGAAGGAGAGCCAAAAAAAGAGGCGTGTCTGCACCTAAAACATGCATAAAACATTATTTTCCTAATTTGCATAACGTGATGACAGGTATAGTGTATCGACAAACCTTTAATATCACAACTGTTAGCTCTGTTTGATATATACATGTACATGTATATGAACGAAAATCATTGTGTGGGTTTCTTTATATATAAACTTTATCTTTTTACAACAATTATGAAACAAACTTATATCAATCACTTTCTTTGACCTGGATGTGTGGGAGTTGAGAGTCATAATGTGTGAGCAAACCCGAGTACCCGTAAAAAACCCACGTGGTCGGCAAATCACCAGCGTTATCCACTGCGCCTTTCAATTAGAAATAGCTCTACGCATGTTGATACATCTCCATTGTTTGCAAACATAATTCACTTAATAATGTTATAAAACAGGCACTCAGAAGGAAATATACATTACCTTGCTCTGGTGTCTTTGGGCCCTGGTTTGACGTCATATCCGTTTGGACATATCCAGGGCAACACTACAACAAGTGATAAAATGTCTTGTAAGAGTGGTCTGTGTAAATTAGACCTTATATTAAGTTAATATCATTTTGATATCTGGAATAGCTAACCAGTCATAACATCATTATACTAGAAGCCCACATACCAAGTATTGCTCACTTTTCTTTACGTGTAAAAACATTAAGCAGAAAATCAGTTGTAACCATTTCTAATAATTTGAGACCATAACAGCCATCACAAAAAAAAAAAGTAATTCCGTTTTAGGCCACATTCCAACACCCCAAATAGGCTGAGGAAACATTCTAGTTCCCAGTATAAAACGACAGGTCGGACCTACCAATCCTACTGTTTGATTGGCTGACATTCACGAATATATGCCTTTCTAAGATGCCGTCTGGCAATTTTTGCGGAACAGGTCTTCTTACGTTCGTTCCTATCTAGTTAACTTTAGCTTTGATCCTACTAAACAATATTGACTTTTGGATCACGGAAGAAAATTTTACAAACCATTGGTTGTGTTTTGACTGTTTAAATCAGTCTTCTTTGTTTTAAACCGTGGTTGACAGGTCCGTTAATTTTAACCTCACAAAAATGACGAGTACATGGATTTTTTTAGTTGCCATGGTAATGTAAGAAACTAAGAAATTTGAAATAAAAAGCATTCAAACTTCGTTTGCCATGCTGAATTCGACGCAATCGACGCCTCATCTCCAACATGTTTCCAATGTAAACAAGAAGGAATACCGAAGCTCAAACCAAACCAACGATTACTTGGTTAAACTAACCAATCATTGATTGTTTGGTCAGGATCCTGACCAACATCATGGCCCTAGCCTTTCTTTGTATCAAATAGCGCAGTCTAGCAGAGAAAAAAGGTACTAGAACAGCTAATCAAGTCTATACGCAAAAAAACTATGAATGCGATATAATCACTGTTATTTTGACGCTTCTGCTCCCACATCGAATAACATGTAAACATCATGAGAAGCAAACATTTCAGTCACGTTTCAGGAACGGATTTGGTATGTGGTTTTTAGAACTGATTATAATTCTAACACGATTCGTTTGCAACGCGTGTATTGATTGGATACGGACCACGATAGAATCATGATCAATCGTGTTAAGCTCCTCCAATCGCACTTAAGCCACGCCCCGTTTCTAACCAAAACAATATGGCGTCAAGCTCGCCTCTTAGTGAAATCCCGCTGATAAGGATAGCCAGCAACAGAACAGAAACGACCGATGAAATGTATTTTTTGAATGAATTAAAAAGTAAAAAGTACACATTCCTTGTTCTTACCTCGATTTATTACTGAAACGTTCGTTCCATCCGTGTGAAGACATCTACTTAGATCCGAAATCAAAAGAAACAATTCACATGTGTCGTATGCATTTACACAAAACTCTTCACAAATCTATACAAATAATCACCGATTTTGTCGATAAGCACAGATTGGTATGCATACTGACATGGAAATGTAAGAACTTGGTCAATATTAATCCAAATGTGTCGTATAAACTTTGGTAACAGGACGTTTACGAACAATCCAAATAGTCCGCCTCGTCAACATACAGATCGAGCGCTCGCCAGTATGGGCGGGGCCAAATGACTGACTTTTGAAAGCTTCTTTTGCGATTGGTCAGTCCGCTACAGAATGACACGTCGCCAGTTCAGGCCACAAAGTATTTTACTACGTACTTTTGTACAAGGAAATACAATGTTTCTTAATATATTAGCGTAGTATATCTGTTGATGTGTGTTAGAATGGGGATAGTAGGTTGTTTTTTACTGGCGATTAGAACATGAAATTTGGTTTAAACTCTCGAACTATCGGTCTCGAGTTCAAACTCAAATTTCATGTTCTAATCGCCAGTATAGCCACCCAAAACAACGTACTATCCCCTTAATAGACCGTAAATACATGTATTGAACTTTTTTCTAAAATTCATATTTTCTTGAACGCAAATCGATAACTTCCATAATCGAGTTGTATAAATACCAGCACGGATGCTAAAGGAAATTCCGTTCGTCCATATGTAGTCTACATTAATTCTCTAGATCAATGTCAAAGTTGTTAAAATATCCATCATCCCATCTGAACAAGCGGTCTTTTAAAGAAAAGCTCAACTAAGCATGATGGATGCCGTACATTCCCCCACTTGTCCATTGGGTCATGTCAAAGTAAGTTACTAAGTAACATAAGAACACATACATGTTATATAATCATTCAAACCAAATGGTCACTTACACTATTAATAACAATGTCTGATCGCCTGTCCTGACTAAGTTCGCGGTGCTGGATGAAGGTTAAAACGGTCATTCCTATTTTGGAAACGCCGTACGCCATGTCAGGCCATCCCTGTTTTACATGCTCGTTTGTTTGTGCTGCACTGAAACATTATAAACAAAAATTATTAAAGACAATAAATACGTATACAACAACAACTTACCAGCTACAAACGTCTGGCAAGATAAATATTTCTCCCGAAATAGAAAAACAATTTAACATATACATGTTAATATATAAAACAGGCATGATGGTTATGCGTATAATGCACATTTTGCTGTATATAAATATCTATAACCTAGAGCGTTGAAAAAAAAAATGATATCTTTTTAAAAAGGACTTGTTGATCGCCAGTAGTCCATTATACACGTTCCTAAACTAAAACAACAACTACATCGTTTTAAAAAGTTGTGCTCGACCTATTTGAGTCAAATGTAGACTCTGGTGTTAAAATGACCGATATCAGAATAGGGAGAGAGAAACATCGCAACCTGTGAGAACAAGACTGCCCTCAAAATAAACCTTGCAAAAAAGATTCAAGAACGCATTCTTTGCTCACGAATCATAATGAACTAAAAAGCACACGAAAAGTTACAGTAAGGTGACTAATCAACAAACCGTACTGATCCGGATCGAAAACGGATAATATTATTCTTGTTTGAAGATTTCCGGACCGCGTCTTTTTGTTGATTAGTCACTCCCCGATACCAAACGGTGTCTGAGAATTCCAAGTTGTCATATAGCAGTCACTCTAGCCCCACACCAGACATCTATATGTCGAAATGTCTAAGTCTGGTGTTAGGGTCAGAGGAAACTCGGGCTAGTTTCAACGGTGCATGAAAATTGTCGTTTTCCACGAATAAATGCCACAAATCTTTGATTATGTGATAAAATGAATCTTACACTGTTTTTTTTTATTTCATATCAAAGTTATGAAATTCGTTACGCCAGAGGCTCTATCGCTAAATTGAAAAAATAACTTCAGTATATGATGTTACCTACTCGATGAATTCTTGTACCAGGGCTTTAAGTTGTGGTAACGTGATGGCGGCGTCCGTAAACCTGACCTGTATGTCCGAGTTACATTTGGAGATTGACCACTGGGAAACCGTACTGGACATGTTAACAACCCTAGTCAGAGAAAGAAACACACAAGATACACGAAATCAGTGAGCATTGACCACTGAGCATTCACGCTGAACAATTTAACAGGATTAAAGGTACAAGAAAACTGTGTTACCAAGTACAAAATTTATATTTCATTAATCATGAACATGGAATTTTATTTCTAATATCGTCAATGTATAGAAAATGTATCGTTGAATTGAAAACAGCTAGCAATGATATTATATTTGAATAATATATAAAACACCAATGTTCCTACATTCCTATTGAGTGGATCAGAATCACGTGGAAATCGGTGAGTTTTTAATACTGATTCACTTTTTTCAGTCTCATTTCACAATTCAATTGTGACGACATAATGTTCTCTGTCAAATGCAACTTACTTTCCTCTTTACAATTTTCATACCTCACATCTTGTTTGATGATTAAAATATTGTGGGTGAATGTGTGGTTATTAGCTTATGCCATACCGTGGCGTCCGTCGTCCGTCCGTCAACACATTCTTTAAACGACTTCTTCTTCTTAACCACTGATTGGAATTTGACTACATTTGACTGGAAGTATCCTTAGGTGGTGGGGATTCGAAATTGTACAAATGGTGGGGCTGAGGAGCGGGGCAAAAAGGGGGCAATTTGGCTTTATTGCTTTAAGCGACTTCTTCTTTGGAACGAGGAGATGGATATAAACCATATTTGACTGGAAGCATCCCTAGGTGGTGGGGATTCAAAATTGTACAATTGGTTGGGATGACCTCCAGGGGGCTGCGGCGTGGGGCAAAAAGGGGGCAATTTGGCTATATTGCTTTAAGCGTCTTTTTCTCTGGAACTAAGAGATGGATATCAACCATATTTGATTGGAAGCATCCCTAGGTGCTGGGGATTCAACATTGTACAAATGGTGGGGCTGACCCCCAGGGGATTGAGGGCGGGTCAAAAAGGGAGCAATTTGGCTATATTGCTATAAACGACTTCTTCTCTAGAACTATGTCATGGATATTGATCATATTTGGTCGGAAGCATTCATGGGAGGCAGGGATTCAAAATTATACAAATGGTGAACTGACCCCCTGGGCTAAGGGGTGGGTCCTAAAAACGTTTATTGCTTGAAAATGGTTTAGATCCCCACCATATAACCACATATGTAATTGCTGATTATAGAAAGAAGAAGGCACATATGCTTCCATGATGGTCTTGGGGCCTGCCCCACCCTTGGAGACTTAACCCCTGGGTCTGTCACGAAGGTCTGTAGTCATGGTGCCTGATAATGTATAAAGTCAACAAAGATACTGAGTTCATGGTACTATTTAATTACCTAAGAATAATACATACAATCAATCCCACACATACCCACTCACTCACGGTAAATACAAATATTGTTTATCAAATATGTAGAATGACAGAAGACCTAGGCAAGTTCCTTGGCACATAATGTTCATAATCATAAACTGTAGAGTTAATTCTACACAACATCTGCAATGTCCATCCACTTGGTTAGGTAAAGTTCAGTAGGTAAAAACAGCCCTGTACTATGGTACTGTTCAACCAACGAAAGTTCTCTCCACTGTACTCCCTAATATTACTGTTCAGTTCATAATGTTCATGTACCCCTAAGTGGGTTAATTTATCGTTAAATATAGTATAATTATTACAGTTTAATATATATACTCAGTATTACCTCACTGATATATATACATTGACACATATTACTTCCATAAATCAGTTTATAATAGACACCAGACTAGTATACACCAACTGTGGTACACACAATACTTCACTATGGCCACCCGTCACATCACCTCGAAAGGATTCCACCACACAACAGAATCCCACATGTGACCTTCACCTCACGGCACTAACTCTGCCGCCACATCATCATGTCACATATCTGGGCGACACTAAACTCTAGACGTCAACACTGCATGCCCATATCTCTATATAAACTGTATGGAAGACGCCAAGCCAGCCCCGCCATCACCGTCGGTCGAGTACTAGGCCACTTACAAAAAACCCTGCATCTACAGCTATAGAAAGTTTAACCCCGCTCCGGGACCAACAACTGGAGGGGTCCAGATACCCCTCCACCACCTGCAGCCTGCCTCGCCAATGTGCTGACAACACACGTGCATCCCCTCGCTTTCCGCTTTTGCACACGACACGTTTTCTCTCCTAACAAAAAAGCCCAGGGTCTGCCCCATCCTTGCAGACTAAACCCCTGGGTCATAACGTTGCTTAGAAACAGTTGAGATCCCAACCCTATAACCATATATACAATTTCTGAGTATAAAGAGAAGAGTGCACATTTGCTTCCAGGATGGCGCTAGGGTCTGGCCCCACCCTTGGAGACATAGTCCCTGGGCCATAACATTAAAACAGTTGAGATCCTCACCCCAAAACTATATATACAAATGCTGGGCAAAAAGAGACAAATGCAGTCATGATATTATAACTGATCCTGGAGTCTTGTCACAACCCTAGGGACATAGTTTCTTAGTCACAGCTTGGAAACATGATTGCTTAGATATCCAGGTGAGGAACTGAGAGAGTGACTGACCGAGACGAATGGATATTGCACATTCAATTTTTAATATTTTCATATGATGATATCATTTCTCATTTATGATGCAGCCAACTTCGAGCTACTTCACGGAAACGTTTAAGTATTAACACGTAAATCACATCCTCGATATCCAGGGTTACGCTCACTTTCGCTCTCTGCATCCCTGGAATATGTCATAGCATAGCATATTGAAGGCTCAATGTGCGCCACCTTGTTGATGAGACAAGAAGACTAGCTCTATCCTTGATATACATCAAAAGAATCATGCGGTCAGGTAACGGTAAAAATTGACAGGATTTGAAGTCGGGCGTGTCTCCTTTGTGATCTTCAAAGGACAGGTATCAGACTAACGATTGGTTTTTCACCTGAGACCAATCAAACAGCTATCTTCGTGCCTTCAATTTTGCTATGACTATTCCAGGGGTGTAGAGAGCGAAAGTGAGCGTAACCCCCTGGATATCGAGGATGGTCCACAAGGTGGTGAACACTGAGCCTTCAATTTTGCTATGACTATTCCAGGGGTGTAGAGAGCGAAAGGGAGCGTAACCCCCTGGATAGCGAGGATGGTCTACAAGGTGGGGTACACTGAGCCTTCGATTTTGCTATGACATATTCCAGGGATGCAGAGAGCGGTAAATCATGGCACAACATTGGAATTTCAAACATCACAACGGTGGCATCGAATGAATACCGTCTCTCTAGTAGCCAGCCGTGCTCGCCTTCATACGACTGTACAAGGACAGTGAAGTTGTAAAAACCCGAACAACAACTATCAACAAAGAACCATGATAGCACGATTCAATCTATGTCTACGCCCTGTTCCCAACAAGGTGGGTAGGCATTAAGTTATGTATGTTCATCTTGACTGATAGTGACATCATGACATTAAGTCCACTAAACGACAAGTTTCAAGACCCATACCTTGCGTGAGGGCGTAGGAGGGGGAAGAGGGCGTCGCACACGTCCACCTGGGAGAAGAAATTCACCCCACTTGTCATTCGAGCCTGCTCGGGGAATGGTGTATCCGTATTTTCCTGTGATCAAATAAATACAACTACATGCATTTAAACAAGAACATTATTTGGAATGACGTAATTGATAAGGCCAATGACCTTAACGGACAAAATAAATGTCCCAATAGTGTAAGTTTTCATAAAACCCAAAAGCAAGACAATTTCTACCAGATGTCAAACTTAAGAGTACATGTAACGTTGTTTAAGAGTGTAAACCATACAACGCTTACCTTAAATGCAATCCCGGCGTTGTTGACGAGAACGTCGAGCCCGCCATACTGTTCTTGCAGGTGATCTCTGAGACTGTTAATGCTGACAATGTCAGTTATGTCCAGCTGGTGAAACTTGGGGTTAAGCCCTTCGGCCTTCAGGCTATGGACAGCAGCATGACCAAGGTCCTCATTTCGTGCTGCGAAGGAAACATTTTATATCTGATCGGATACATTATATACATTTTGGGAAATGTCTTTTCAAAATATAAAAAGGATATCCTATAATTTAAAATTTTCCCTGTTATACCTGAAATACTCGTACAGTCAAACAATTATGCTGCAAGTGTATAACTATACAGATCAGCGGCTGTGCACATGTGCGGATTTTTACAGGTTGCCTTGCTAACCGTAAATGATTGTGGATGGGTAGTAAGCAATAAACTTATCATTGATTTATTATTTTCCAATTACTAAAGTATGTCTCCCCTTTAACTGAAGTACACTTTACAAAAAAGTCATCAAAATACACTTTACAATTAGTCATAACAGTGCAATATAGAGTGAGGCCTTTACATTTATATTTAAGAGCGAGGTCTTTTTGAAAATAGCATAAAGGATATAGCATATGAACCGATGCGACGGGCCTCACAATACCTTACTACAACGCTCCGTACTTTGATGGGAAACCCGGACATCGCTATTACCTTACATAATGTACATATCTTGTAATAAATTAAACAATTTACTGTTCAACAGTGTCTTGTCTATTTACATGACAACACTGACCAGTACATTATTCAAAATCTGTAAACCAAGCACACCTGCGGAACTGTTGATTACACCTGTACTGAGGAAAGCTGTCAAATTAAGTGATAACAATGTTAAAGTTTGTCTTAGATAACTTTAAAGTTACAGGTATGAAACATAGCAGAGCACTGACGAATTTTTGGAGATATGGACGGGTACTTGAGTGCAAATGCAACAAGAAGCCCAGGGGAGGGAGCCGCTATGTACATGTAGGGCGTTATCGGCCGTTTGTATCTGTTTTTGAATGTAACATTTTCGGGTATAAATTATCGGGGACCTGCAACCGTTTATGCAGGCCTTGCAATGCTTTTGTCAAGGCTCGACTGAAAGAAGCATCAGATCGAACAACTGGTCCAACCGTTTGGATCGCGATAAACGAAAGCGGCCCAGAACAGCTCTCCCACAAATACTGCGCAAACGTCTAATCCAATAGTAATCCCTGTGCGGCTGTCAAAATCTGTAGCTATAGATTCAAAACGTTTCACTTATAATTACATGACTATAGCTATTTCCGAAAAAGAAACAACCATTTGCGTCACTTCCATGCAAAAATAACGATAATAAAAAAAATAACAACAGTTTCGAAAAATGCAGCAGGGTCAGACCAGGATTCGAACCCGGGTCCTCCGATCATTATGTTGTTACTCTACCCAAATGAGCTACATTTATATACATTGTATCAGGTAAACGATAGTACACTGGTACCCTTGCGCTAAAGTTATATTTCAAACGAAAATAAGGAGTGGTTACTGCATGTTCGAACAACTTCATTGGGCCTCTGTGGTGTTTTGCCTGTAGTAGGACTGGGATATGTCCTAATGAGGATTACATGTACATGTTACAGGTCTAGGACGGTCAGTGCCATTCCGTTACACATGTCCTTGTGTATTTGTAGGCCACAGATATTATTTTTTCAAGTAGACGTCTCTACACAGGCTCCTGACTATATCTACGTCATCATCTTACCTGTTAGATAGACGTCTCCATCAAATCTCTGACACAGGCTCCTGACTATCTCTACGTCATCATCTTACCTGTTAGATAGACGTCTCCATTAAATCTTTGACACATGCTCCTGACTGTCTCTACGTCATAATCTTACCTGACAGGTAGTTGTCTCCATTAAATCACTGACACATGCTATTAGCTCTACGTAATCATCTTACCTGTCAGGTAGACGTTTGTTGCGGCACGTTTTCTCACCCAGACACGATTTCTCACCCGGTTAAGACATCGTGCTAAAAGTGTTGCGTCCGCAACACGATTTCCCACCCCTGCACGATTTACCACTCTGATGAGAAATTTGGCAAAACACATAGACACAGGTGACACGTTTTCTAACCCAGCACGATTTCTCACCCAAACTCTGAATTGGAGATGGATTTTGTCCGTGGTATCTTAAGGTCATTCCAATATGGCTGCCACACCAAACTGTATATCAAATTCAATAATGCATTCCGTAAGCATTAAACAATCTCTATCACAAAAAAATCCTCCTCCAATATTTCTCAAACAATTATGATTGAGGTACATGCAAACTAAATTTCAGAAAAAAATATTCAATAACTGATGAAAAAACTCAGTTTTTATATGTTCATTTTCCAAGCTGAATAAAAGTCACATTTCAGGAAAAAAATCCATTTTAACTTGTAAATATCATAAGGTTGGATGTCCATGGAGATGCATTTGTCGAGAAAAATGTAAGAAAATGTGTCAAATCTTCAGAATAATGGCATATGTTTCACCTGAATGAATCACAACTGAGCACATAGCGAACAAGGCTGACTGAGGTTGGAAAAAAGCATGCAAAGCAAGTGAGATTTTACCTGTACACCATTCACTACATGTTCTCACTCAGGTAATCTGGCTAGACCTGTATCAAAAGTATTGTTAGCTTGATGAATTATTGTAAAATATCCAATCAAAATACATGTCATTATTCTCGAGATTTGACACATTTTCTTACATTTTTCTCGACAAATGCATCTCCATGGATTTCCAAGACGTCATATAAATACCACCCTTTATTTATTCATTTATGTGCACATTGCGATGATGATCTGATTGCTTAATGCATAAAAGTGATTGTAAGCCTCTGTTTTTTGCTTCACAATTATAACTAATTATATATAATACTATTATTCATATGGTGTAAAGCGCTTTAGAGTAATTTTCCAAATTATATAGGGCGTTAAATATAAATGTTGTATATTATTTATTATTATTATTAGAGAACTAACATATATGCTACCACTTCTTTTGATGGCAGTACCTGTATTTATCTATTTATCTATTATTCATATACTTTTCATTCCACTAAATATCATAAACATAGAGACGTTTTTAAAAGACAACTTGCGCGAGATATACCGTACATAAAATAATATGCAAGTCATATCTAACAAAGGACACCTTTCTTTGGCCAAAGGAACAAAGGTCACGATTTTTTACACAACATGTACTTACTAAAGCAGATGTAAAATCATTGCTCTGGAAGGGTACATACATTTCCTTTTTTTATTATAAAGTATAACAATATCTACTCGTAACAGGAACCGTTACACCTTAAGGTGCCGAAGCTAACCCAGTTGTCGCAAATGATTCATCAGAAAATGATCGCAATGCCATAATGCTAGGGTTGTCCAACCGGTCTTATTTTTGTAACCGGTTACTCTTCTACAGATCGAGTAACCGGTTAATCGGTCAATTTGGTAGTCAAATATTTAACAGCAACAAATACATTATATGTTTGGAAAATGTTTTATCTAAAACGTATATTTATTAGCATGAGAGTTTAACTCGTGTATTTCAAGGTTAACACAGGAAATAGTTGCATGTAACTTCGGTAATTATATTTCATGGACAACGCATGTCGGAATGCAGTAAGACGGATTCAATTGCAGTTATCTGTACTCTAAATCATATGCGGTAATATTATTCTTTAGAACAAAATTTGCTTGACATGCTTGCTCATGCCAGGGAGCGTGTCTCTTCAGATTATCTTTACATCTGGCATGTAAAGGCACGTTATATCTCAGAAAATTTCACATCTTTGTATTATGGCTGCCTTTTAAATTCTGTTAAGATTTTTTTATTGTGTTGGCGACATCTCTTTGTCGGCATTTAAATTAGAGTGCAAATGCAATCCCTGAACATTGTATTTATTACAAAACTATCAAATTTTGGTCGCATCTATACAAGTGCAGATTGTTTGTAGGTCTAAGCCAGGGAAAAATGGGGCTCCCAAAAGGGGTAAGTACATGTAAATGTCCAACCATTCGGCTAAGGAATTTGGTAACCGGTTCGTGGTCTTTCGCCCGTTTAACAAACCCTACATAATACATCTACATGCAAATCTATAACATCGGTCAATATATAAATGTTGACCAATCAGGACCCGACCTGACACAGACATTTTTTTCCAATAAAAAAGATGTATTTTTTTTCCCATTTTCAAGAACACGATTAAAATATCAAATTAAACAACTTTTATTGTGTTCCATAAATCAGAACAAAAATTGTTACAGCCTTATATGACTCAGCAACTTAACATCGAATATCATTAGTGACTACATGTATTATATGTAACTGCAGTACACCTCTATTACTATGATACTTGTATCCCTCTGTACAACGACGCATGCCTATTAACTAAATCTGTGTATGTTACATATATTTGTATACCATTGTAAGTCAAAGGTGTTGAGATAAGATAAAACTAGAGGCCCAGAGGGCCTTATCGCTCACATGGATAATAAAGCAACCATTTGAAATTATTCGTATTACAAACAATCCCTCCAATAGTGCAGAAGAAAAGGTATTTTTAAAGATTTAAACCTCAAATTCCCCAATTGAGCCCTGCACGCTGCAACCAAAGGGACCACACCCATCATTTTAACAAAAGTAAGACCCCTTTGCCCAAGGATACCCCAGGCCAAATTCGGATAAAATCCCTCAAATGGTACATTAGAAAAGGGATTTTAAAATTTTCCTTTTGAGCCCCGCCCCTCTGACCCAAAGGGGCCACACCCACCTTTTATACAAGATCAAGTTATTTTTGCCCAAGGATTCTCCAGACCTAATAAGGATAAAAAAACTAATCCCTACCGTAGAAGCAGGGTTTTAAATGTTTTACCTCTAATTCCCCTATTGGTTCCGCCTTCTACTGCTAGGGGGTCCAAACCCACCATTTTTACAAGATTGAGTCCCCTTGGCCCAAGGATGCTTCAGACCAAATTGGGACGAAATCCTGAAATCCCTGCGGTAGAAGAAGGATTTTGAAGGATTACCTCTATTTCCCCTATGGGGCCCCACCCATCTGTTCCCAGGGGGCCACACCAAACGTTTATACACAATTGCCCTTGTCACAAGCATGCTCCAGACCAAATTGGGATGAACTCTCTTAATTCTTATGGTAGAAGAAGGATTTCAAAGGTTTTAACTCTATTTCCCCTATTTGGCCCCGCCCGTCTGCCCTAAGGGGGATCCACCGTTTATACAAATATCATTGGCGCAAGGATACTCCGGACTACCTAAGGATGAAATTCCTTTATCCCTATGGTAAAAGAGGGATTTCAAAGGTTTTGCCTCTATTGCTGCTATTGTCCCCCGTCACGCTGCCCCCAGGGAGTCCAAACCAACCATTTATCAAAATTGAGTGCCCTTGGCAAAAGGATGCTCCAGGCAAAATTAGGATTAAATCCCATAATCCCTATGGATTTGAAAGGTTTTACCTCTATTTCCACTATTGGGCCCCGCTTCTCTTTCCGTAGGGAGGACTCACCCACCGTTTTGCGTCCCCATGGCCTTTGGATGCTCCAGGCAAAACTTAGTTCAAATCTACTGGGTCGTTCAGGACAAGTAGCATTTAAAGCAAAAGTTGACGAACGGACTTACGACGGATGCTGTGGTATGGCATTAGCTCACAAGGGTCCTTCGGACAAGGTGAGCTAAAAATTGAAGTACGAACAAGTTTGAAGTTTGCGCAGTATTTTCTAAATAAACAAACCTAAATATACCATAATTACCCAAAATCAAAATCAGTGTTCGTACTCATGGCAACGGGCAATATACCTACTCCTAACACGATTTCTCAACCAGGTGAGAAATCATGCAGAGGTGAGAAATCGTGTTGCAAACTCCGCAATTTTAGAACGATGACGGGTGAGAAATCGTGCCGTAACAACGACTCAATCAAATTGCTGACACAGGCTCCTGGATGTCTCTACGTCATTATCTTACCTGTCAGGTAGACGTCTCCATTAAATCACAAACACAGGCTCCTGATTATATCTTCGTCATAATCTAACCTGTTAGATAGACGTCTCCATTATATATCTGACACAGGCTCCTGATTATATCTACGTCATAATCGTACCTGTAATGTGGCCGTATCCATTAAATCACAAACACAGGCTCCTGATTATATCTGCGTCATAATCTTACCTGTAAGATAATAAACGTCTCCATTAAATCTGTGACACAGGCTCCTGATTATATCTTCGTCATAATCTTACCTGTTAGATAGACGTCGCCCTTAAATCTCTGACACAGGCCCTTGACTATTTGTAGCCCGATTCCTTTGTTAGACCCGGTCACCTACATAAACAAACATTGATGATTGATTCAAACAGATACAGGAATAGTTACAGAGTGGGCTTTAAATTTAAAATGAGAATAACATTCAAAGTCAGATAAGATATGGAATAAGAACATATGGAATATAGAACATCACCAGACGTAATACAGAGAATAGAGGCATAAATCACAACACTTAGTTTATAATTAGTTGTGGTCACAGACACCTGAGAATTTGTTACAGCTATATTTGAACATACAATAAGGTGTTCAAAGCAGTCGTATATGCTTTAGGGGTTTATATCGAATTTCCGTAAAAAATACACCCATAATGATTATATATACGAGTTGGGGGTGTCATTTTTACCGAAAGTCGATCTTAATCCCTTAAACATGTACAATTACTATAAACACCATAGTTTAGGTACAAGTACAGCTGTAACAAATCAGGTCCCTTTGGTTCTGTTTTGTATACAAGATATAAATAAAGAATAAATACTGCTCTTACCACTGCAACTGCTTTCGGCGATGCCATTTTTGCTGAAGAAATTATTACTTGCTAACCCGTTACTTTCCTCGTTATCAGTAAAAAAGAGTGTACGACAGTATTTTATATCTGATCAGGACATACACTCCCGCATAGCGTATGTTCATGTATGATGTAACTTCACAGCTCATAAACACATATAGGCCTATACCGTAACCTGTTACAGACACGTGACCAGAAATGTAAACAAATGTGTAAACAGTTAAGTCATTCATCCAGGAGTACATGCTCTACGACAGTGACGTTAAGAACAGTAGTAAACTTTCACGAGAATCGATCACACATATATGATTGCAAGTATTTATTGGCGTTATCACACTTAATATATATTTTGAGTTCAAATACGTCTGAGGTAGATAATGCACGAAAGGCTAGCTGCATCCGGCTGTTGTATACAGAGTCCGGCGTTATACAAAAAATGTACTTTCAATAGATAAGGGGCATGGCAGTCACTATTACATCGTAATATGTATAAGCTCTTTTCTCCTATAATAACCATGTGTGCCTTATATTGTCTAGTTGTCACAAGAAAAACAAGAACACATTACTAAAGTGCAAATCGGGGGGACCACGCCGCGTACTGAGTTTATTACCTAATACATACATCATCAAAAATCACCCCACCAACAACATACAATAATTATCAGAAGTTATTTCGATAACATATAAACCTTAAATAAACAAAGGTTATGATTACTGTGTAACCTGTATTACCGCATACACATGCACTAGCCCATACCGCTTCACGGTCCACAGCTTCGCCACGTAAATAGATTCACTTGACACGATTACTTTCAGACAACCTGATACATAGACTAAATGTTCTAAAACCTCAATGTCCAGCTACGTCTATACGCTGCGAACGTAGTCACCCGAATGACCAAATACTATATCTGCACATGCATCGCGAACTCGCGTCTCAATAACCCTAACCTTTGCCTTATTCTAGATAAAACAGATATAACATGACTTCCCCGTGTCAATCTATTATCAATATGTACACCAAGCAGTTTTCCACTGCAAACTTGTTCAAGGGGTTTATTGCACATAAATAATTCTAAATTTAAACAGGTTTTTTTTTGTTTTGAGGCAATGCACATACATTTTGTTTTCTTGACATTTATCACCATTTTATTTTCAATACACCATTCACTAACATTGTCTAAATCAGATTTCAATAGACTGTTGATGTTATCTAACGACTTATCAACAGCAGATAAGGTAGAGTCGTCTGCATACATATTAGTGTCAGATACAACATGTAGGTGGTAAATAAAAATGTGCCAGTATGTGCTATGATCAAGAACATGTAGACTTACTCTAGTCAATGCATTGATCTACTCTGTTGCATTTGTAATGCATACTGGGGTTTAAGTTAACACAAGAATTATCAAACAGATTTCAAGTAGACACTCACTGTCACTACCGTTGTAAGTAGATGCCAGTCCTACATGTAGTAGTGATACGTAGACAACTACATGTATATGTCAAAATGTCTAAGTCTAGTGTTCGGGCCAGAGGAAACTCTGACTAGGCTGGTGATAGCTGGCATACAGTATGATTACGATGTTTTAATATTGCCAATGATAATATGTTTTCGTTATATCAATTACCTGTAGTATACCAATTTGTTTACATACCTCGGTTTCCAGTTTTGCTGTAACGGGGCAAAACAGAATTGTCACGTGACGAACCATGTTATCTATTCCGCAGTCTTCGAGGTAAACGAGCATGGCGATGTATACAAATTAAACAACAGCCGAGAAACACAGATATACAACAAAGTTGACAGTATGGCCGTTCAAATCTCTTTATTTTTGGTATATGTATGCATTTATAGCACTAATTTCCTGTTTCCTGGGTATGACATTTATGGCAATAGTCCCTTTATGTTGGACTGATCCTGTATTACATTTTTCTTTTCAAACTTTAAAGTTTTAAAGCCTTCTGTATGGTGACATATATTCCTATCACCACTTAGTTCTATTATGAAGCACTGTGGTCGTTGTTCAGGGGTCACCGAAAGTGCATCGGCCGAAAACTAGTGTCACATTTCAGCCAGAAATAACACCATGAAATGATGCAATAAGGGACAGCGAGTAACGGATGGGAAAACCAGAGAACGTGTCATTCTAGTCTGTAGTTGGATGTTTCCTAGCAACAGCTTTCAAAACGGTTTGAGCGAGATGTAGATGACGTATATATAGATATTTTTTAAAGAAATTGATCTGAGAGGTAATACAGCAGTATAAAACAGACCAACAACATAGTGATGACGTCACTGAAGACGTAAAGTAGCAAATTAAAAATGACAATGACATTGTCACTTCAGATTTTATTTCATTTGATATGAGAATGTATAGCTCTTTTTAGTGATCCTCCAAACCTCCTCTTGGAACGTTCCTTATAATTAGCCAGGTTCAAAAGAGGTAGGGTAGCTAGATGCATGTATCTATTTAAAGTTGGATTGACAACGGGAATAATATTACAGAGAAAAAATGTTTAAGAGACCTAAGCAATTATTGTATTACAAGAAAAAATAAGATATTTTATGCTACTTATTCAAACATTCGTTTTATACTTAATTACTTTATTATTTTAAAACTATTATGGTAACTAATCTTTCATAACATAAGTTTGTAAATAAGAAGAAACGTATACATCAAATAATACTTAGATGTATGATATGAATCTGAAACAGATCATTCTGTTATGCTGCATTCAATTTTTTTAACATTTTATTACAGAATTTCTATGAACATTGAAACAGAGCATTGTAATATATAAATGACCAGATTTTTACAACAACATCCAGATGTTGAAAGATATGTATTTAACCGTTCCAGGAACGTTTAATCTGTACTGTTTATGTCTGGAATTATAAGTAAGCGCACACATTATATTTGACAGCACACGTCATCCGATGGGACAGTCATCAAAGTGTGAGATATATTTTAGAAAAGAATGTGTCTGTTCCTTTCGTTTATGTGACGTGTGTTTAGATAAAGTGTCTGTATTTCAGATTTCGGTTTATCTAAAGAGACGTTTCTTGTTGTTTGCTCAACTGTGTTAACATATCCTTACACAACACAGCACATAAAAAATTATTTAGATCGGATCGAAATTGAACTTGTTCCATGAGAACATGAGCTGGAAGCTCTTGTTAATTAAATCTATCTGTTTTAAAGACACGCTAGTTGGACAAATATACCTGGTGGTCGGGTCGTTTATGTACGAGATGATAGAGCTGTTGCATGGGAAATGAATATGCTTACCAGCCATGCATCCTCCTCATAGGTACATGTACACACAGGAATGATGCAGCACCTGAAAATCGAATGCTACTTGAAAAACGGTATGTATTTAAATGCTTCAAACTTTTTTTTTTTGTGATCCCATACATGTGTAATATACATTTTAGGGTAATTACAATGTAAGTTGACAACCGTAGCTAATATTATCAGCATTTACGTACATGTTTATCTTTTTACCGTTCGTCCCTACACTTGGCGTCTATATATATATTCTTTCCGACATAAAATTGAATATTTAGACCGAATATGTATTTACAGCGAACTGTTTTTTTTATTTGTGTATATTTACTATTCAACTGTTCACAATCAGCATAACTCGCTTTTAGGGAAACCAAGCTCCTAGAAAACTAGATCATATCACTTGTTGCTTGTTGAACTAGAAATGATTCCTATTATTTAGAAAAATATATTGACATTTTTTTGATAATTGCTATTGTGATAATTAAATAAATAGTACTCCCTTGCTAAATGTACTTTCATTCATGTCTGTATAACAATACCGGATACTTGGTGCATTACTTGGCTGGGGAGTGACGATGGAAAGCTCACAATACTTTGACATGTATTTGGTTTTACACATTACATCTCCAGCACACACGCATGCCTACACACATAGGGATATATTAGCCAGGTGACATAGGACTAGTACTTAGCGCATGATAAGGCAGCACCTGCGAATTCCTTAAAACTGTATTGATTAATGTATATGCTAATTGTATTAATTGTATATCTATGTACTGTAAAGTGCTTTAGAGTAGCTCATGTTAGCTAGATAGGGCGCTTTATCCAATGCTGTATATCATTAATATTAAGTTTTATGTGGAAGGATTAAAAACTCAAACTACATAAGCGACAGAAAGGGTCTAGTTTTAACCCATTTTAAAATATGAAAACGTCACTGACATGCTTTCTATCTCTCTCTTACACTTTCTGATGAAATGTCAACAGAATTATCTGGTCAGAATTCCTGTTGTTTACTCGCATATTAATACAACTTAAATAAATCAGGAACATGTATCAAGTATTCGTATGATGATAAAACAAACAATTCGGTTAGCTTCTTTGCAAAATATCTTATTTCCTGTCAATAAAAATGGAAAACACAATTTCATTTCTTATTTTTGAAACAATTAAACAATAACAACACATGATTACGTATTAATATAACAGGACACAACATAAGTTTATTTAACAGAATAAATTAAAAAAAAAACAAAAAAACATAGCATATTTCAAAGCGGTAAGAAAATCCTATGAAAATGCTATCCTTCGCCGGTTTGACCGTTACGTAATCTTTGCTACTGCACATGATCAAGTCGTCAATAGAAAGTTTAACTTCATGATTCGGAAATGATACCCATCAAAAGGGGAAATGTACCAAGGTTTCAGTAAGCTACTGTTTGGACACAGAACGATTCTGAAACAGCAATTCATTTTTTCATCTGCCAGTGTGCAATATCAGTCCGACTCTATTTTCAAAGCAAAATGCAAAATAAGCACATATACGTTTGTAATTTTCGGAGGTTTAAAATTAACACCGGGCGATGACATTCACACTGTTCATTTGTTCCGTTGCTAGTCATTTTTCCTTTCCCATTTGGAAATTTTCCCATCAGAGACGTAGTTTCCCTTCGGACTAATTGTATTTGGAGGCAATATCGCAAGGTAGAGCGGAGTATCTGCCCCTGAAATACATTTAATGACACAGTTTAAAGCTATACAACAGTGCATGCATTAAGGTTGTTCTGAAAAACTAGATAAAATCCAATATTTGGATG